CAATTTCCCCTGGATTCGCTCGACTGGTCGAAGCGGAAGTGGGCGCTAATTGAAGCGCTCTCCTCGTCCTTGTGGACAAGTTGAAAACATTGTATCTGGAAGAGAGTCATTCAAGTCCCCGGGAACTGTCTGGCACAATTTCTTTTTGTTCAATCCAATCGCATTACCGCAAATTATGTCACGTATTAGCGCAGTGAGAAACTTTGCAAGAGCAGAACTTCCATCAAGTAATCGAACTACGCTCCGGTTAAGTTTTGGATTCGGGTTCGCATCAGTGGCGCAAAAGTTTTTAATGTCAGCACTAAACACCCGCTCTGCACTTTCCAGAGGACATTGCCGCAGGATTAGGGCGATGGAGACATATCCATGCATGCGCCGGCGAATCGCCAATCAACATCATCGTCAACAACGACGGCGACCATAACCGCAGCCATCACAAATGCCATTAGAGAGGCGAGTGGGTTCGGTCCTCAACGAGGACCCCGCACCCCCGCACCCCCGCACCCCTTCACTTCCCACAAAAACCTCGCCCCTCGACCCCGCCCAGTCGCCAACAACAATGCCCTGGTGGCACTAGTAGCAACCAAGCCCTCTCGGAAAAACCGACCCGGCAGCTCAACTAACGCATCGTAAATTGAGATTTCTATTTATTGTCGACGACCACAGCTACGGCAGACTGAAAGAAAAGCGGAGGCGTTTCATATTTGAATAAGTATCTGTTCTTTATGGAAAATATATTTAATGGTTCAACCAATAAAATAAAACTGTATTTTACAATATACATCGTTTTTTACTATCCGTTTTAAATATTTAATAAATCTCAGTAATTAGAGTCCGTTTAAGTCCACAAGTTTATGCCGTAGATTTGCGGGTTCAGCTCAGTTGTGTTGGATTTGGCTCGGTTTTATGCAGTCCAGTCACCCACATTCACATCCACTTGCCATTTGCCATAAAATATCAGCAAGTTGACGCGGTCTGCCGACTTTATAAAGTCGCTTAAGCATTTTTAATGGACTTTTAAGTTTGCTTTTATTGTTTCATTCGCATTGCTTTTATGCTGTCCTTCACTTCATACTCGTGGATGCATTTATATACGCTGGGGTGTACTTAATTCGTCCACTGCAAGAAAGCATTTCTAGATAATGTATTTTCATGTATTTTTCTTTTTTAAAGCAAGATTACGGTATTTTATATAATTTTCACTTAAATTTGGGAGAGCGCGAGCGAAAGAGAAGATTAGAGTGTGGCTCGTTGCTCGAGCAGTGGCTTTGCTCCCTCGCACTCTCATAAGATAACTGCATGATCTCCGTTTCCGTTTCCTGTTGTTTAAGTATTAGTGGTATTTAACAGGAACTATTACCATTATTAAATATATGTTTTAAGACCATATTTTTAAGGGGATTTATTCAGAAAAATAAGTTTCATTTTAACCGATAAATATTTAATCATTTTTCGAGTTCGGTTGAGTTATTTATTCAAATTTTAATTTAATTTTATTCACTTTTGCATAATAAATTATTTAAAAGGGAAACATGTAAGTGAATTAGCACATGTTTAGAACTAATAAATATTTATAAGTTATGAGCTTCATTTTATATTGCATAGCAAATATTGTTCGATATGTAACTTTCATTAAATGAAGCCCTTACCCTTAACACGTTATTATTTAATTTAAATAAAGGGAAATCCTCCCTCGGGGCATACTTAACTAAACTGTGATTAACTGAATAAATATTTGCACTGCAATCAGCCGAATTTCGGTAATCAGAAGTAAATAAATTCGGGAATGGCTTTAGACTTTCCCCCATTTTCCTTCAGGCGATGAGAGCAGGGCAAATACTGAATTTCCTTTTCTATTAATACATATTTGATCTACTTATTTCAATCAATGTTCTGTCAACTACTCTTTGGATGTACCCCGCGTCCTGGGAGGCTAAACAAACTGTCAATCATAGAGAAAATCCTGCGGGGGAAATGTCTTGGGGCGCCGGCTTTATTATGGAAATTAAATTGATATTTAAGTGACACATTGTGGCGGCGGCAGGGTGAGCAGCATAAATTTCGGCTGACGGCAAATTGTTCGCCCATACGCCCATTGTTAAGATGAAATTAAATTTTTATGGGCTTAAACCGGGCTCAGTTGTTGGACTTGTGTACCACCCTCCCCCACAATGGGCTCCACCATCTAATGAAGCAGCTGGCAGCTCTGTGTGTGTGCGGTCAGCTTATGGTTTTTTGGCCTGGCGTTTTGGTATTTTGACCTTTCGGCCGCCTCCTGCCTGTGAGGTTTAATTAATATGCAAATGGACAAGAGCAGGCAAAGGAGTTGGCTGGGCCGCCAGCAAGTTTAAATTTAGTTCGCCCTTCTTTAATGAACTCTGAGCGCCCAAAGGCTGTGTTTCTGAAATATTTATTGGACCGCAACTTGGTCCACATGCCGAAATGACCAACTTTTGAAGCCTCCGGCCGTCGAAGCCATTCTGCTGGCCTTCTGCATATTCATAGGGGTTCATGGCCGCCATTTGCAATTCGAATGCAGTACATTTCCGGTTTTCGGAAATGCATTTCCGCTTCCGCCGGCCGCTCGTGCAGCCTTTGCCACAGTTTGCTGCACATCAATTTGATATTTGACAGGACCGCTCAAAACTAATGCACTTACTGGCCATTCAACCAATTTGGTTACACGATTTTGATGCAATTTGTTGCATTGCACGCCCCACTGGCCGACCACTTGTGAAATTGATTTGATTTTTATTAGCATTTTATGTGATTTGCGAAGTGTGTCCATGGAGCGAGCTTGCCCGGAGAATCGAATTAAACACGTTCAGGTCGGTCGGCCAGCGGCAAGGTACAGTGCACACACACTTTGTGCGGCCAGCTGGTGCGCTGATGGAGCGGCCATTCCTCATTGTTTGCCCGCAGCAGGTTTTCCTGGCTCCTCCTCTTCCTTCCTACGGGGACCACGCCCCCTGCACACACAAGCCGCCACTGACCACCATAAAGCACACTGGGAGAAACTATCGTTCGTTCATTTAATGGTTGAGGTAATAAAAAAAGCAACAAATTAAAATAAGTGGATGAGATAATGGCAAATCTGGAATGATATGAAAATAAATATTGTGTTTTAATTAATTGAGATTGGAAGAGGAGTATTTCTCTCGGTTCAGGCAGCACAATAAAGCGTTAAAACACGGCTGACTCGCAGTCGAATGCGTGTTTGCCATATCAAATTTCACACTTTTCCGCTCCCCCACTTTTTCCCGGCTTCCTCGGGCGGGTAAACTGGGGAAAGCAGCAATGGAAAACAGAGGATTCAGCGGCAACAAAAAGAGGCAATCATCGGAGCGGTTTTTGCTGTTGCACTCGTCACCTGCCAATGCAACAGCAAATCCATCTGCCTCGCATTGTGTGCGGGATTTTTGTTGCATCGCTCTTAATGTGTTTTCCCGCTTTTTGCGATCCACATTTCACATCAGATATGGTTGATGTTGCTTCTTGGTAATGACAGAAACAAATGATATTGTCAGTAATTTAGCAAATGGAGAAATTTAGCTTTGGGGGTATGTTGTGAAATGCAAAAAAAAAATTTGTTAAAGCCTTCAACTTTAAGGTAAATAAATTCATGAAGTCTGTAAGAGAAGCTTTGAAAATTAAAGTTGAGACCCGAATCCAGTTTAACCGTTATGGTGTCACTAGTTTCCAATTCAAAGCCGCCTAATTGGACGTAATTATGGCCTGACCCAACTACCATGGCAGATCCAACTGCATTCGACCCATGTCACTATCCAAACTAACATCCCCGTTCGCTTTTCACTGACCACAGCGGGGGTCCTTGCTGCCAGGACCAGCCTTTTGGCCTGGATATGTCAGATAAACGAAAGTCGGGCACGAGCAGGAGTTCAAGAGAGAGTGAGCCGGCGAGTTCTGAGCACATAATAAATATTTATTAGGCCCGCTGCCGCTTGCCAAAAATTTAATTTGTTTTCATTAAGCCAGACAAACCATTTAAGCCAGCTGCAAAAACACAGTTGAGCTTTCTTGAAAGAAATTTGGTTTTTAACTGAATGAATAAAATGAAGAGGATTGCTTGAAGACTTTAAAGACCTTATAAAAATTGATTTTTAATTGTATCTTTAAGTGGATATGAACAAAATAATATTAAGAAGTTTACCCACTAACAGATAATAGATCTTGAGACCGATTATCAAATTAAAAATTCCAAGTTTTTAATGTTCTAGTTAGGCAGGCTTGACTGTTGAAACGCTACCCATCTCCCAGGGAGTTTGGTGATGGAAAAATATGCTTGAAATTAAAAAGGGTATTCTCTCTGGGGTCCTCAATGTCAACGTCGTCGCCTTGACGTGGCCAAAAATATTTTGCTGGCTTAATTGTGCGCGCAAGCCAAGCAGATAAAAAGCGAAATGAAAAAGTTTGTGACCCACCGAAAAAAGTGGAAAAACGCGAAACAAAAGCGGGGAGAAAAGCGCGTTCAACGCTGAAATCGGAGGGGCAGGCGCTTTTGGGGGGGTGGCGAAGTAACATAACAAAACAAAATTAAAGTAAATATGCGCCCGGGTCCACAGACAAAGTAGAAAGGCAAACAAAGCCCAGATCCTGACAAGGGGTCGAGCGACAGGAGAGACAAGGATGTCGGTAAACAAAATCACAATTAACTGAGAATGACGAAAAATAACAGCGCCAAAGGAGCAGCGAGCATGTGACAATGGAGCCGCTTTAAAGTGGTAAAAAGGGGGCCGCTCAAGGACGAAGGACCTGTCATAAAGCATTTTAATTGCGCACCCACATCGCCCGGAATTGATTAAACGTTCTGAAGTCTATTCAATTCGGGACCAAGGAAAGAAAGGATATTTAATGATTGAAAAAGGGTTTTGTTTTATAGGCGTAGATTATTGCGAATCTGGCATGCGGCCATTAAACTCCTCCTTGTCTTTGTTATTAAACAATTAGTGGATGAAAGAATCAGGGTAGTACGCATAACATTTTTAACAAACTTTTCGAATGATCATTATAATTTAAATTATTGACTGTCAAATGATTTCTTATGGTCTAAATGTTGTACTGACGATGACAACGTCGCACCGCATCGTTGAACTCCCTGCACACGTTGAGATCTTGATTCTCCTCGGTGCACTTGAGGAACTGCCTCATTTCCTTGGCGCAAGGTCCCTCCTCGACTAGTTCGCTGTGCCGGTGCGGATCCCCACGTCCTTTGAACAATCCTGTTATCCCCGCGCCAATCGCGTGTCCCACTGCCGATCCTGCTGCCACGCCCGCTGCGTGAGCAGCCACATCCTGAAAGGGGACTTTTGAGCTGCGAATGGTGGGCAGCGCCGCCTGGGAGCAACCTTCGGTGCTCGATTTGGTAGAAGCGCTCCTTGGTCTGCGGGGCATCTCTCCTTGCAACTTATGGGTTTACCTGTTGTTTAATTCAAGGGGAAGCGGAATTTCGAATACCAAATGAGTAACTGAGGCACAGAAATGGGGTCCATATTAATCCGGCCTACTCAGAGGAATATATTTTCAGCTTAGCTTGCTACTTTATTGCACTGCCAGCCAGCTAATTGCCAAGTGCATGCCGCAGCGCCACCTGGCGGGCAAGTCCCTGCAGCAAGGACGAAAAAATTCTAATTCTAATTTGTTTTCCCTTTCGCCTTTGCGCTTGCTTTTCCCATTTCCCGCACTAATTACGAGCACATAATGAATTTGTCGGCAAACGCGAAAGGTATGAAAGCAAAACAAATACTGAACTCCAGCGGCTTCCCTTTGAAAATTTCCCAGAGGTCGGGGTTAATTTGGAGGGACTTTAAGCCTTTATAGAACAAAGTATTAACAAGGGATCCCACAAACAAATAGAAATCGGTTGAAGCTTACAAAAATAGTAAAACAGCGATGTTTATTAGCTAGTGAGTCCACATGGGAAACCGACACAGAGTGCTTCCAAAGCCAAGTCCATACATTCAGAAGTTCAACAAAGCCACTCAGTTTTCTTTTAATGAGTGCAACGGAAATGCTTTAATTGGCTGAGAGCATGCGAAAGTTGGGTTGACTTTTTGACATGCGGGGGGAAATCGAAAACCCAGCGGCAATTAGCCGAACTGCCAAAAGTTTGGGTCTAATTCGAATTAGGCTCTGCCCCATATGCTCAATTTTGGCAGCGAGTTCATGTTTCAAACGGAATATTTCATTAAATTATTGCCAACCGCAGCAGAGAAAAGCCAAACAGACCCTGCTGCAAATGCCGCTTGATTGATGCTGTTTTTAGAGTGAACAGGGGGAAATTCCCCTCCCATCTGAGACCATGTTAATCAGCAGTATACAATTTCCACTCGCTCTGTTATGAATATTTAAGCAAATTATACTTTCCCGCTGAAAATTTCCCAACTGCCTGCCATGTGAATAAATGTGACAGCAGCTGATGCCACTCTTTGCCGCAAAAGAGAACAGTTTTTGAAATGCTAATTTTATTTTGTTTATTGTTTTGGCTACAACCTAATTGGCCCACCCCTCGACTGGGTCCCAGCAAATGTCTAAAATCAATCAACATCAATAATGTTTCGGCAAGCAAGATCGATGGCCCACAGCTTCTGGATGAGACGGGTGGCTGTATTCCTGTCGAAAGCTGCCCGCATAGCGCCAATTACTTTGCCTTCCCAAGGACTTTGTCGATACCCTCCCAAGGGGTACTGGTAAGGAAGATGTAAGCGGGAGAACTTTATTGCTTTGACTGCGAACTTCAGCTTATTAAGCTGGTGTTTTGTTAACCAGCAATTGCGTTTATATTGAGCTAACGTCAGGTTATCTATTTTAGGGTTTGGGTTCGAAATTTGGGTTCGAAATATATTTTTAGGTGGAAATGCCAGTCGATGAGAAATTGTCTTACGAGCTCATCGAGGTATTACATTCCATTTCTTGAGCAGTGTTTATCATGTTATGGCAAAAAAACTTGTTATTTTGGGGTCGAAATGTGGATGGAATGATTTTGCCAGAAACACCAATTTTTACCATCCTTTTTAGCTGTAACTCGCCCAACCCAAGCTATCCATCGAGGTAACTCCCACCTGAATCAGAAAAATTCGATTTTTCGTCAAATTGCATTTTTTGTAAGAGGAAACAATGTATTTTTTTTTTCAAATTTGGGCTCAAAAAAAATTTTTTGGTGGATATGCCAGTCGATGGGGAATTGTATTACGAATTCAACGAGGTATCACATTTTTTCTTTGAGTGAGTTTTTCTTTAGTTATGGCAAAAAAGCCGACTTCTGGAATCAAAAAATGGTTTTGTGGAGGAAAAAACTGCATTACGAAATAGAACTTATGTAAATTCTCCGACATTACGAATTTTGCTTTCCCACTGATAATGGTATGTTTTTTCTCAAATTTCAAAGGTATATTTGTGTGATCTTTTGCATTTAACGGTCTGTTCCTCGGGGTTCGTGATCTCAGACGTTGTATCGCCGGCGGCACTGCTGCATCGCCTCGTTGAATTCCTGGCAAGCCGAGAGGTCCTTGCCGTGCTGCTCGGTGCACTTGAGGAACTGCCTCAGCTCGAAGGCACAAGGACCGTCCTCCACGAGTTGCAGTGGCCTCGGAGCGGAGGACCCCTCCTGCGGCTGTTGCGTCTTCTCCTGGGGCGCAGCTGTCTGCCCGCGGCCCTGGAACATCCCGGTGAGTCCTGCGCCCACAGCGTGCCCCACGGCGGATCCTGCTGCCACGCCCGCAGCTGTGGTGGCCATGTCCTTGAACCGCTCCCCTGTGCTAGGGCCCTTAGCCTCGGCAGCGGGAGTGGTAGAGGCTGCCGGAGGCGCTGTTGCGGGATGGGACTCCTTCGGCTGCTGCACCGCCGGCAGGTCCTTGCTGCTTCCCCGAGACGGCTTGGCGGCAAAATTGTGGCTGCTGCGACTGCTTTGCCGGCGCACCGATCCTCCCGATCGACTCTCGGATTTTTGACGAGGCATATCCTTTAGAATCGCAGAACAGCAAGCAAAAAGAGAGGAGATGGGTTGTGTGACTTGCTTTCGCCTAGAAAACAGAATTTTGAATGGCAGTTGCCCGCTTTGACCGTTTCGAAGTCGAAAGGGGCGTGGCCAACTAAAAAATTCTCTTTACTTTTTAAGATTTAACAAAAATTCAAAGTCTAAATTAAATTCACGATAGTTTTTACTTCAAGATGGCCGTCTCAAGAGAACAACCAGTTTACAAAAGCAAACAACAATAACTCTAATTAAATGTAAGTTTTCCATACATACGTATATACACCATTTATCTGGTGTTTCTCTACTGCTGACAGGCACTGTCGCCCGCCAGCAGCTGCGTAACAGTTCGTCCGCAAAGTTATCGCACACTTGCGGATCTGTTGACAAGTGCGAGAGATATGCGGATTTCATTTGCATTTACGATGCTTCTGTGGGCTGTTTTTCATACACCCATCTGCTGTTTGCTGATCCCAGACAGCAAAACTGGCACGCTTTCAATTTGGATCTGCATTTGAGTGTCTGGATGGGCGCGAGTTTGCATAGCTGTGCTGATTGCACTTTGTGCAAATGGGGCGTCGACGGCCGCAGTGCGTATGATTAATGTGGGAGGGAAATGTAGCAGGGAAAAGCAGCTAATTTTTGGCGCTCATTTGCATTTCTGGCAACATAATGCTGGCTCGCAAGTGCCTCCCAAGTGCCTCCCATTACAACCACCTCCGATATCTGCGGATAAACACTCGAAAGCCCCAATTACTTGGGCCATTTTCATCAAAACTGTCTGGCTCTTTGAAAAACACAATTAAAGTCGGCACTCGCACACTCACACAGGACCATTCATAACTGCTCGGAAAATCGGGGGAGTCTCAAAGCCAGAATAGCGAATGGCCAACATTTCAAATGCGGTAAATTACAGTTAACGATTTTGTAGCACAGCAATTTGCCTTATCTCTAGATGTCTATCTGCGGTTTGTAAATGTATTTCCACGTAGTTGCCCCGAACACCGATTGTTTTGCATGTCAGCCGGTCGGTACTGTCCGAACTACCAAGCCACCTTTCTGGTCATTGGCCAGAGCTAAGCCAGACCTATTGTGGCCAGCACATTACACTGGCAAACAGTAGGGTAAATGAAGACAAACTATGGATATAAATATAAAAGACAGATAAGTTCTATTAGAACTGTATTTATTTCTCCAATGTAATTAAAGTATAAATTGTTATAGTTTTTTGTATAACCAAGGGAATAAAACCTGTCATTGGAAAGGCTAGTCCGCCTTTGCTCTCAGTCAATTCCAGTTTAGTGTCTCATAGTCCTTAGTTTCCCCAATTACTATTACTATTTCACTCCACTTTCCCCCAGTGTGTGTTTGCGGCTAACAAATGTAGGGACGCCGCCATAAAGGTGTTGAAATAACTGCTGCAGCGTTGAACTCGCCTCCTTTGTTTGCCTTTCGTCGGCGGCGGTTCTTGGCTCGATTGTTACGGCGTTTTATGGTTATTGTGTCGGGGGCGCAATGCAAATTGCCGCCACATAATTATGTCGCAGTCGAGGGGAATATATACACTGTGCATGTATGGAAGAGGCAGGCCGCTATTCCCGAGCGGACTTGCAGACAACAATGGGAAAATCAGTGCGACTTTGGGGCTCCAGGCGTCAAAGTTTCGCCATTGAACGGAAAGTTGTGGTTTTCGCACACCTGGACAAGCGAAACTTTTCCATGTCTAATTAAAAGGCGACAGAAACAGTTCCAGCAAACTTATTTATATAAAAACTCGCTTTGGCCCGGCAATCAAATAATAGAAATGAGAACTTTTAATTTGCCAACGCCCTGACAACTCACGCAACGAAAGCACGAAAAGTCCTCGGGGATCGACGAGTAAAAGCAAAGTTGCTCAGACTATTACCTCAGTTAAATCAGTTACTAATTGCATTGTCCTGGCGATAAGAAAGCAATTTCATTTCACCAGCGTTGCGACAATCAATGGGGGTAGAAATGGAAATGTTTTTACTTGGTTTACCGTGACGATTCAAAAACGAAATTCAAAAATTATTTGCTTAATTACACACAAAACTACACAACACTTTATTAAATGAATTCACTTAATTTAGGACAAATGGATACAAATTATTTTTACAGCAGAGAACTTTTCAGCTAAAGTGCTGCACTTTCTTCTTGATTTTCCTGGTTAAAGAAGGGTATTTTCCACAGACTACTCCATTTGGCTTTCGTCAAGTGTCAGCCTGCAGTTCCTGCTACTTGACTAATGATCGCGTGCCAATGCAGTGGCAATCTGCCACTACAACGGTGCAACTTGACGCACGTACTTCCCGGGGGAAAGGCAAACAAATGAATTTAGATTTCAGAGGGCTGGCCCTATAAAAAATGGCCCCGGAGGTCAACATTTTGCTGCCATTTTTTAAGCTTAACCAACGGGACCCTTGATTGTAATATAGGTTCCATTTGCTTATTAGCGCCCCAAAAACTTAAGCTGGAAATTAATGACTGCACTTTCGAGAGGCGGAGATGCAAAGGCTTCATTGTTTGGGCTTCGCAACTTGATAATATGCAGATTAAATTTTCGCGGACTCTTTTCTGCCGAGTTTTCCACTTTTCCACTTTTCCGTTTTATGAAGAGGGCGGCGCAAAAGTTTCAATGCTTAAGCAGCCGCAAAAGAAGTTTTTAATAAAAATAAATCATGCGCACACTCGACTGCCGGCGAGGAACTTGCCAGGGCTTTCAGGACCAGACTTATCGCACGGGAATAAGCCAAGTCGGGCTCCCTTATGCTGCACAGCCACGCAAGGCGGCCCCGAATTTATGGACTTGCTCCAGTTGACATTCGATATAAATCAGGTCGCTGCAATTAGGGAGCGGGCCAAATTGGGCCGGATCACGAGAGACAGTTGGCCCAGAACTATCGCTTAGGGGATATCCCGCCCCCTTTCGAAAAACCGCCCCCAAGGGCTTTCAGTAGACAAATCCTTGCACATGGAGTGCCACTGGCCACAGGTGTTTATTTAATTAATTTACATAAATCACCTGCGCTCAAAACGCACAAACACACTGCCCTTGCATTTAATAACTAATTAATTTTAAATCAGCTTATTGACCCAACAAGGCCGGGCTAAAAACTGTTTACACTAATTAAACGGCAGAGCTGCAGAGCAATTAAATAGAGTTAAGCCCTGTTTATGTTGCGGTGCGCATACTAGGCGTATGCGCAATGTTGACGGTGAACTTGGTAAAGCCAGATAATTATGCAAATGAAAACGTCTGCTCCAGGAACTCTACTCAAACACGCTTAAAGAGTTTCTGGAATTTTGCGAACGCCTAACTAATTGCCAAACGTCAACTACGAATTCCTCATTCGATTGTCTGCAGAAGTTTTGCAGAAAACAAATTGCGCCCCGCAAATAAATAATGCATGGTAAAGGCAAACAACGGAACATGCAAATAATGGGGCTTTTGCTACCTGGCAAATCACTTTGAGTTATTGTACTTAGCCCTCAGTGTGGCCCGGCAAAGCAGAATAAATATTTTAAGGCCCTGCACCGTCCCACCTGCAAAAGGTGTCTAACAGCCACGCACCTTGGCCGATGATTGATATGGCGCTTTGGGGCGGGAAACGAACGGGGGGGACTATTCCCCTCCAAACACAGAAACCGTCGGGTGTCAAAGTTTTTGTGCGCGCTTAGCGCATTTGATGAATTGTTAAAAGAAATCGCGCGTATGTGTAAACATTGGGTCTAGAAATTCGGGGGCTGGAATCGCTATGTGCGATTCGTATATAGTATATATTGTCCCCCGTCTGTGTGGGAATCAAGTGTGGTACCAGCTATAAGGAAAAAACCTCGAAAAGCTTTTGAAGCCGCCGACGAGCAAATGGCGGAAGCCCAAACAGCTGCTGATGATGATGGCGGTAGCTGTCGGTAAACAGAAAAGAAATGAGTTGGGGAAATGTCGGTGCTCCTGAAGTGCTGACTGGTTAATACCCTTCGTCGGAGCGCCCTTGACAACGAAGATAAAACTAGCCGTGAGTGTGGCAAGGAACCTTGAAGGTCAATCTTATAGTGGGAAATCTTGGCCAACAAAGAGTTGAGGTAAAAGAATTTACACAAATGTTAAGTTTTATTAGGAAAAAAAGCTAAAATAAATATTCAAATTAATGCTGTGTTTCTTTTGGCCCTGACAACATCCGAAACTAGAAATATGTTGAGCCAACGTGAATCATTTTAAATTTCTTGTGAATGGTACCTGGGAAAAATGTAGAGGTAGTTCTCAGAATGAGTCAATGTCCAGACATTTGAATGCTAATGAAGCTAAAATTAGCAGTAAATGTTTATTTACTTTGTCTTAGTCATTGCATTATTCCTTTAATGTTAGGGTATTCCGCCCATTCCGATTCCGAGAAGGAAAACTTTCTGCAGGCTCTTCACTTTTAATCTGTCTTAGAGCAACTAATACACACACGAACCCGAACAAATATATGCATATGTGAGCTGTCATTCCCCCTGCAGAAGAATCCCCAGGATTCCTCGTATTTACTTGGATCCTGCGTGGGCACCTAATCCTTGTCAGAGAAGCCACATTCCGTCTGCCGGTGGCAGGGGGATGGAATATGGGAAATGGAACGACACTATACACAGCAAATCATCAATCACATGCTCTGGTGATTCATTGATAAGCTTTCCCCCCGGAGGACGCGGCATGAGGTCCTCGTGGCCATCATGTTAATAATGCCGCAAGATGTTGGCCAGCCATTAGCCTTCGCCATTAGGCCTCATATTTTCCCTTTTCCCGGGCAATTAATTTAAAGAGCTTTAAACACAGCAGCGCAAACAACAATAAAAGCCCCGAAATGAAACGTGCAGAATGGTGCTTTTGTTTATTTTGATTTTTTTAAAAATCAATTTTGAACTTGCTGTTTATTTTTGATGTGGTTATCCGGCCAGCAGCCATTGGCGTGTAAACAAATCGGGCTCTTTTTCCGCAGATGCCACGAACAGACAGGCTCTGCTTTTTGTGTGCTCCGAGAAATAAATATAAAAACTATATAAAGGCAAATATTCATGCGGAAAACACAAATACAATGCCAC